ATTTCTGTCTTCTGGGTTGTTGCGCTGTGTAGTCTGGTCGATGTTAACCAACGTTTCAGAGGTTATACTGCCTCCGTCATCAGGGCGATGAACTTGTATGTTGATCAGTGTTCATAAGAGCCTTCATGCCGTCACAGTGGCCGTGTGGTCACAAGGAATCGTGGGTTCGAATCCCACTCAAGGCATGGATGTTTGTCTGCGTTTTTCTCTGTTGTGCTGTCCTGTGTACAGGTAGAGGCCTTGCGACGGGCTAATCACTCGTCCAAGGAGTCTTACCAACTGTCTATAGATCAAAACCAACAAAAAGTTTGGACCCGCAGATGCTCAGGCACTTTAAGAACGGGTCGTATAAAATAAATAAAATAAAAAAGAGCCTTCATTGGTTACTATCTTCAAATAGCCAATCTTCGTGTATTATTTCCTCAACATTCATTTTAATTTTATCTTTTCGCCTGTATTAGGACTATCAAATGATACATTTCTTAAGATATCCCGACTAAAATACTGTACGCATTTCTCATCTAGCAGTTGCTGTCTCCCCGAAAGCGACAGACCAATTTCAAGGTGATAGGAAAGCCAAGGAACTCGTTCCTGACATTATTTTTGTCAAGAAACAAATTAAATTGAAAGCAATAAATGAAAAGAGAACGTCATATTAATTGTCGAAAATATCCACCGAGTTCTGTATCGTCACTTAATACCGAAGGTTAATGGAAACGTTTTATGTTCTACACGCTTCCCGTGTCACGGAAACGATTTACCAGACGAGATATCGTCTATTTGTTCTGCACGGGAGAATCGGGAAATGCGTCCCTAAATTCATTTCGGCGAAGTTGTGTGTTTATTAGTCCAACCGAATTGCACTGAATTGCAACCATCAACAAGAACATGAGATGTGTGACTTTTCCACCAAACTATTCTTCCAGTCAGTGCTACTGTTTTCAATAAGAGAGTGTTTTCATGTCAGACAATTTATGAAACTTGTATGCTATTCCTCTGAAATTAGAGTCCGCATTTTCAACATCGCTGTCACAAATCCCCTTCACTGGACGCAATCCTAAGCCAGTCTAATCCAATTGCATTTCTAAAATGCATTTCATTCAAGTTTTTATCACGTCTTGCAAGTGGTCGCTTTCTGATATGTTTCCTTACCATGACCTGTGACCCTAACCGAATGTCGGTACAATCGAACAGAATACTGAAACAATAAAAACAAAAAAATTAATTTCCGTCTCTCTCAGGTATGGAAATAATTAATCATAATGATCAAAACGTATGCAAAAATAGATCGTTTTATTATAAAATGTTATAATTGACAATGCCCAATATCTAACATGTCATAATGCGACTTTCAGGAGTTTGAAACGATTCTGTTTGCAGCCACAGAAGCTCAAAACAAATGGACACTCGAAGAATAGTCGAAAATCGGAGGGCAGGAAACGTCACGTACTTGAAATATGCCCCACAGAATGGGCAGTTTCGAGCACTGTCTTACTAAAATAATGCGACTAACTTGCTTTGATGCAGATTATGTTAATTTTATGGACGGGAACATAGCAAATACCTTGAAGAAAACGTAGGTGCTCTATTGCATTCTAGTGAGGACGCTGGTAGTAAGTAAGCGCGGAGAAAACTGTACGAGGTGCGATCGGAAAGTTTCAAGACTGTGTCAATAGAGGGCGAACCGGATGTAGTACGAGCTTCTGCCGCTAGGGGGTACGGCCTACATTCATAGTGAATCAGTATGCCAGCCGGAATCATCGAATTAGCATTTGTTTCTTAGTTACGGGCGTTTTGGTAGTGCATTACACCGATGGTGCTTGACAAGCTGACAAAGAAAGATTTCCAGGGATGCTTCCAGGCTTGGCAGCGGCGCTGGGATCGTTGTGTTCACTCCCAGGGGAACTACTTCGAGGGTGATGGATGAATTTAATACCGGGTTTTTATAGGCGCAGTCTTGAAACTTTCCGATCGCACCTCGTATTCATGTCTTGTCACCAGACTGCATGTTAGAACCTTAATACAAAAAGTATGTAATAATTATTTCGCAAATTGGTAAATTTTAAACACCGTATCTCCTGGATTTTAAAGTGCATTTTTTCACATTTTAATTTGTTTTTAAGTCTGGGAGAGAAAGGAATCAAAATTACATAAACGGAGAAATTGTGAGCTGATTAAATTTAGGGAACGCCACCACGCAGTCTAGAATCTTTCGTCTTTTGCAGATGTAAGATATTTACCTGTGTTGTGTGGTTTCTCATCTAAGGGAAATAACGCATGTACTGAATATGTTTGAAAATTGGTTGCTGACGGAAACATTGGAACTGAGAGGCTGGAAGTAACAAGTGAACGGCAAAAGTTATAAACGAAACTTGATAAGTTACTCCAAACATTGTCACCGTATTCAAATCAAAGAGAGTGGGATGGCCGGTTCATGCAACACGCTTGGGGAGATGGGAAATTCTGACAAAATTTTGAAAGAAAACATTAAGCGAAGATGACACTGGGAGACGTAGTCATTATTAATGGATATACTGTCCCAGAATTTAATTCAGTAGCTGGGTCTTGTGAACACAGTAGTGAACCTACGTGTTCCATAAAAGAAGGGGAAACTTGTTAACCAACTAATTGAATCTATTCAATTCTTTGCACCAAGCATCATGGAGTTACTTAGCTAGTGGAGAGAATTTTCCAGTTGAATGATAACGTTACTTCGCAAATTATTAAGAATTCCACTACAGAAACTTCTCACCTAATATCCCAGATATCAGAAGCAGCTATAATCTTCAGTCTACATTCTGTAAGATGCGTGAATGATTAAGAACTATTTATCATTTGGTTCAACGAAAGTAATTGCTTTCTTCTACGGTTCATGCACGCTTGTTTTCTTCAAGATGTGTCGTAAATTAAAACTTCTCAATTAAAGGAAATAAAATACCAGAACAGACGTGAAGTGTCGTGACTCGGCGCTAAATATCTTAATGGTCACTAAGAATGTCAGTGTCTTTGTTAGCCTAGAGTTGTTCGTTCTGATTCTGATCCTAGAACATGGCTTCTAACGAGGCAGACGTCATAAAATAGCAATTAGAGGCAGATCACTTCAAGGCTGTTTTCAACCCAAGTCTTCTTTCTGCACTAACTCATTCGTAGAAGGAACGTAAGAAAAATATAACAAAGTAATGTGATTATACTTGTTATGTGTTTCTTAACTGGCAAATCGCGACCTCCTTTGTCAATGGAGACGCATTTTGAATAAATTTGCACTGCTGTGTAGTTTTGTGAACAGGGTGTTGAGGAGGATATTTGAGCCTAGGAGAGAAGACGATGGGGCGTGAAGGAAACTGAATAATGATGAGCTTAAAAATCTGTACTCCTCCCCCAGTATTGTGAGGGTGATTAAGTCGAGAAGAATGAGATGGGCTGGGCATGTAGCGCGCATGGATGGGACAAGAGGTGTGCACCGGGTATTGGTTGGGAAGAAAATCCATGAGGAAACAGGCATGCCTCCAGGCAAACAAAAGTTGCAATGGGAGGTACGTATGTGCATTACCAGTGAGATCTCCGTATTTGTTATCAGTTTATTAATGATTCTGGTCTCTAAATGTGTTTTTTTACAGTGAATGTCTGCTAAGCCATCTGGTTGGTTGGGTCCACTATTTGGGAAGCCTGAGGGGAAGAGACCGCTGGGGAGACCTAGACGTAGATGGGAGGATAATGTCAGGCGGGATCTATGGGAGATAGGAGTTGAAGGAGACTGGATTTTGTTGGCATAGGACAGAGTCCGGTGGAGGGCTTTGGTTAATTCGATGATGAACCTTCGGGTTCGGTAAGCCATCTAGTTAGTTAGTTAGTTAGTTAGTTAGTTAGTGTAGTTTTGTAGAAGCTGACCACTGTTTCAGAGCTGATGATAGAGGCACTCGTCGCCCAGATGATGGCGTCATTACGCACTTCTGAAACGTCGGTCAATTTCTGGGAAACTACACGTTGTAACATCCCAGAAAACAGCCAACTTTGTACTCGCCGTTTGAACCTGAAATCCAGTGGCAATGAATGATCGGGTTCCATAAAACTGAGGGAATTTGTTGACTAGTTCAGCGAGTCTCAGCTTCTAAAGAAGGATTCTATTCCGTACAGTGAGCAGCTGCGTCTTCAAATTTTGTTGAACATGCAATTGAAACTTCCTACGAGTGTATACGACGGACGACGCACGAGCAGAAAAAGTACAAATTTACCAAAGAAACATTGCGATGTTCTGCATAAATCTGACACATCAGCTGATAAAATTATTGGGCCCAGTCTCTTTGTAAAATGTATATTTTAACCAACTTATGCCTTTGGTGTGGACATATCAAGGTGATATGTTATTCTTCAGTTATTTAACAACACTTCTTCAACTTGATTGATAACGCAGTGTAGAACTTCGATATCGATGTCTTTATAACACAGCCTTTCGTGTTTAAGTCCTTATAACTTCTTCATATATTCAGAAGTTTTTAACAACTGCTGAACATAGTCCAGAAATAACTATTTTCGTAATCCTTAATTTATTTATTTATTTGCGTTTATTTATATGATTTAAAATGACTTTTCTTAATTTTTACAGGTTATGATGATACTAGCCGGCGTCCTTGTCCGTAACCATGCTTATTACACTCCGGAACACCAGCATAACCTGAGATGTGGGCACCTTGGTTATGGCTACGGGGGGCTCGTAGGTTATGGTGGCTATGGGGGTTATGGTATAGGCCAAGGTCTTGCCTACGGCGCAGTGGCACCTGCCATACAGACGTACAACACTGCACCTGCCGTAGCCAATTACGCCATCGCCCCAACAGTCAAGTACACAGAAGCGAAACCACAAATCTCCTCCTACATTTCTGTGCCTGCCCGCACAGAAAGTTACGCAACCGCTCCCTCGGTTCTGTCGTATTCGGCAGGATCTTCTGAGCTATCAGGTCAGTCCACTCTTGCTTATTCCTCTGGCAACACCGCCACTGTTGCGTCTTCTTACCAGTCCGCAGCTCCGGTCGTTGTCAAGTACGCCTCACCTGTTATCAAGTACGCCGCTGAGGCCCCTGCAGTGACTTCCTACGCCAGTGGTCCAGTCGTGAATTTCGCGTCTGTAACACCCGCTGTGAAGTACACGACCCTGTCATCTGACGTTTCTGCATATTCAGTAGCACCAGCTGTGCAGTATACATCATCATCATCATCAGGTGGTCACGCCAGCTTGTCTCTTGCAGCTCCATCTGTCCTCAGTGCTTCAGTACCTACTTCGTATTCTACCAGTAACACAGTGAAACATGTTTCTATAAAGCCAGCTGTCGCCACATACTCAGTAACTCCAGCGGTTAAGTACGTTTCTGTAAAGCCTGCTTTAAACTATGTGTCCGTCAAACCGGCTGTAAAGTATGTTTCAGTTTCACCCGCTGTTAAATACGTATCTGCAACACCTGCCCAATTTATATCCCATTCGTCGGGTGACAATGAACTGTCCTACTCCTCTGGAGGTGCTTCAACTTCATATTCATCTGGCAGCGCCTCAGTCCCATACATTTCTGGTGGCGCCTCTAACACTTATTTATCTGGTGGAGCCTCGACTTCTTACTCTTCTGGCGGGGCCACCAAATACGCATCTGGCGGTGTAGCTTACCAGGCCGTAGCAGCGCCGGCTCTATACAGAGCCCCAGCTGCCGTAGCAACTCCCCTGGTGGCAACCGCGCCTGCTGTAGTGACTGGTGTCGCGCCTGTATCCACGGCCTACGCAGCTACCGCCCCTGCCCTTGCAACCTTCGTCAATTCGGCCCCCGTGATCGCCACTCCAGTGAACGCCAAAGCTGTTCTCAGTCCAGTGCTCAAGAAGTACCACAAGGATCACGTGAGTGACTCTGGATATTTGTTGTCTGTCTGCATTACGAATCGAGATATTTTGTTTGAAATATTAGTAACCATGTTCCCACTGACGAAAGGTCCCGGACAGATAAAGTGGGAAAAAACAAAAGGGGGTTATCGGGACACATCTCTTTAAAAATAGGTTAGGTTAGGTTAGGTTAAGTTAGGTTAGATTAGGTTAGGTTAGGTTAGGTTAATGTGTTTGGATAAATGACATAAACTTGAAAGTTATTATATTTTATTTGGTACTTAACCTATTTTTAAAGCGATGTGTCCCGATAACCCACAAGTACCAAACAAAATTTCGACGGATTTTATATAATTTTTTGGTGCATTTAAAAATGCCACAAAATGTTTCGTAAATTAAGATAGCCCGGTACTGTAACTGATTTAATTGTTAGAAATAATTTTGTTTGCTGATAGCAATCTAGTAATTTCTGAACCGATTCTATAAATAACAATTCTCTTCCTTCCTTTTTGATTATATTTATGGATGATGCGACATCTTTCTGCCAACTGCAGAACTGTTAGTACGACATCAGTACAGACGAGTGACGACAGAATTTGAAAATAGAGTAACAAGAATTACTTTTCAATTCTTTGAGTAGTCACTATCCCGAAACTCCCCTAGAAAACCTGGAGAACACTAATAAAATCTCAACAGTTCGTTTCACTGTGTCGATATTCTTATAGAACTTAAGGTTTTCGCTCTGACGTACCAATATACGCTCCCAAACGTGAACATAAGAATTTCCTAAGATCTCTACCCTCGACATTAAGTTAAGGGCTTCATCTCTGTCAAAACACTTTGATGGATTAGGTGTATGGATAGATTTTTCAGCAGCTGTCCTGACGAATGTTGGTTGGTAGCCCGTTTGATTTTGTATCGATATTACAATATCACGGTTGCTTTCTTTTCGAAAAGTACTCGATAAGAACCCTGACATAATAAGCCTACAGGATCTATCGAGCAAAATTTGTGTGGTTTTCCTCAGTTCTTCCTTAAAAATATCAAGATGCGCTCTTAAAGGAGACCATGATCTAGTTCGTTTTCATCCTCCTCAGCTTAACTTTCAAACCGATTCTGTAGTTCGACTATTAAATCAATTTAAAAACAAGTCTGAAGATGTCGAAATATTTGTCTGTTCTACTCCGTCTCCGAAAATGTTCCTTTGAGGACTAACTCAACGGAGCAGAGTCCAGTGCGGACTTCTCCAGCCTGCGTTTGAGAGTATCGGCCATAATTGTTCGATTTAAGATCTCAAAGTGTGCGTGTTCTACACGCGTAAAGAAATTGCATCTCAAATGAAAGTCCTTTTAATAAACCAACAGCCCCTGTCGTGCGGTGATAGAGAAGGCGTGGCATTATGAGTGTTCATGACGCAGTGAGTCAAGAAACGAGCACATCTTACAGGACCGCCCAAACACCGCATTCCTGAACCGGCAGGTGACGCATCCAGGTGGTCAGAGAGACCATCTGCCTTGACTGCACGAGTGCGATGCGAAAACACATTTGAAATTAAATTCTGACGGTGGCGACTCTGGTAGTAAGGAATTAAAACGAGGCTAATAGCAGTGAAGTTGCTTCAGAAAATAGTATATTTGAGTCTTAGAACCTTGCATATAAAATCATGTACGTTGTTTGTATGCATGATTTTGTATACTATATTTCAGTGCCATTTCCAAAGACAATGTTGCAATAAACTGCATTTGTTAGAGAAATGCTTCATTCCCGTCAAGTTTTGTGGGTCATATACTAGGTTAATTTTTTTAAATAAATCATTAAATACTGTTTTGAAGTAGCTATAAGTCACCATCTGTCTTTATATTTCATAATTCATGAGGAACGGGGAAAATGTTAAAAACTGTAACTAAGTCAATTGAATAAAAATTTTCTTGGATATTATCCATCGTCTAGTAAATATAAAACGTAAAACGACGTTTCGGAGATGGGA